GGCCGTGCATGGATGTTGTTGAGTATAAATGGCCATCGTCCTTTCGTAGTCCGGCGTAAAATCGTGCTAGGAAATTATCAAGTTCCAAGTCTGTCAGAGACCGGTCATTATTTACACCCAGGGTTGGGGCCAAAGAGAAAATGGTTGGGTAACTGAAAATTCTAAGACATATAATGGGTTGGGTAAAAAAAATTTTACAGCTCTTAAAGGTTGGGTAAAAAAAATTTGCAGCATTTATTTATTTATTTAATATAAAAGTAAACTAATTTTTATAGACCCTATAAAAACAATAAAAACAGTTTAATCATCTAAAATGTCAATTGGCATATCATCACTTGACATGTCACTTTCGAGGTATACTTTACATCTGGCTGCCACAATGTTCCTTTTCTTTTTTGCCTTCAGTCGTCGACAGAGGCAGCATCCAACCTTTTCCTTAACTGATTGTTTATGTGTTCAATATCATTATTTAGCAATTTCCTCCGATTCCTTCAGCATTTCACCTGTCTGGGCTGTCATAGCTTGAACAAAAGCAATTTCATTGCTTGCCTAGTCAACAGGCTTAGCCAAATAAGACAAGGAAAGGTGGCTTTGAGTGATCATCATGAATGCCAGCTTTATGCTTAGTATCTAAATTATTGTCATGAATACAAGAGACAGGATTAAATTGAATGTTCGACTTAGTTTTAGTTGTTTTTCTTTTGTGTAGGCAGGTAACTCAATTTGCTTGCCGTCATTTGACATTTGGTCTTCATTGATAATGCATTTGAAGGCCCTTCTGCGTCAGCTATTGAAGATTCTTTGAAAAGCTGAAGTGGACGCAACTCCCCTTCATGCTAGAGAAAGTCAATTTCAGCATGAAGTCTTTGACTTCAGACTTTGCAGCATCTTCTAATTGCATTGAACATGCTGAACAGGAACTGGCCACACTTTCTGAGCTGCTATAAAATGTCAGACACACGTTCTCTTTTGAAGTCTGGCTCTGAAAAACAATCGTTTTTTTAGTTTGAAATAAGCCTTCATAAGGACTATTGTGTGGCAATGTTATCTACATGCTCAACTCAACAAGCGTTGAGCAAAGCGGTCACGATTTTTGAAGCTCCGTAAAAGATCTCAAAATTAGTGAATTAAGAGTTAACATCTTGAATAAATATAATGGCTACAGCCACTAAAGCATTACGTAAAGAAAATGAAGCCCTGAAAGAAGAAATCCAACAGATAATGACGAAATTACAACATCTAGAACAAAAATTCGAATCCATAAATGCCAGAGTCAACCAAATTTCCATGAGGTGTAACGATATAGCTAAATGTGTCGATGCAGGAGTATAGCTACCAATTTAATGTCAAAATTGTTGGTATGCCTCTAAAGGCAGAGAGGGAAAGCCCGGAAACAATGGCTAATCTCTGCTTACAACTGTTTGCAGCCCTGGGAGTTAAAGATATTTCATTACAAGACATTGATATAGCTCATCGAATGCCAGCACGCCGAGCATCTTCACACCCAAACTCCATAATCTGTAAATTTGTTCGGAGACTGGCAAAAAATAAAGTAATGGAGGCTAGAAAAGAAGTATCTAAACTGCAAGCTGTTCAACTTGGGTTCTCCTCAGGTATTCCTGTCAAACATGTTAATATTTATGATCATCTAACACCGCGTCTCCACACACTATAGTATGAAGCAAAACAATTTAGACAAGCCAACAACTACAAATTTTGTTGGGCTAAAAATGGCCAAGTTTATTTATGCCAAACTGAGAATTCAAGTATTATCATGGTTTTTCTGCAGTTGCATGCGACCAAACGATAGAACAGACAGTAAACTGTGATGCAAAAACTAAGGGAGGCTGATTGGTTTCTCATTCAAACGTGCTGCAGTGCATCGATGGCTTCTTCCACAGTCGGAGAGAGCGGCGATAACCAGCCAATGCAAGAGTTTAGCAGGAATGGAGTGCAAGCCAAGGTATGTCCAAACAACACTCGTAAAAATTGCACATCCTTAATTGTGCTTAAATGGTTGCGCGATTTCAGTGTTTTTTTTTCTTTTAGAAAACGTAAAGACCTCGATCGTACTAAATGCGAGTGCTATCAGAAGTTGGTAGAAAATTAATAACCACCGTTTCGAATATGCTAAACCTGTTTGACACAGAGCAAAAGAGCCTACTATCTTTAGCAAGTGGATTTGTTGTTGAGGACAATGTTGCTGATAGTTTACTTGGAGCAGAACAGATTGGAGAGAATAAATTTTTAGATTTCGTTAAAAACAATTTGACTATTGAAGAACCAGATATCTTCCAAACAATTAAAAAAAACAAGCTCCCTACTATCCAGAATACTAAAGCAGGGATTAAAAACAGTGCCGGCAAAGAAACTGGACTCAAAATGAGTAGAAATTTGTTTGCAAGGCTTTTGCTCGTTGCTATGTCCTGTCTTACTGCCTTGGTGCATATCCCTTATCACTTGCCTCCGTGAGTGGCAGTCTTTTAAAGACAGCAAAGTCAAAATTGGCGGACATACTGGAACGTGAAAGCGGAAACCCGCATGTTGACATAACAGACATCCCAAATAATAATGCACTCATTGTAGATGCCATGGCTGTTGTGCAGTGCTTGAAAGGAAACTGGAAAACCTTTGGTGATTTTGCGGATTCAGTTTTCAATTTCCTCATGAAATTAGCTCATGATTGTCGTGCATTAAGACTAGATTTTGTCGCAGACCGGTATCCTGCTCTGAGTATCAAGAACACTGAGCGAGTCAGACGCGCTACACAAGGAGTTCAACGAGTACACATCTATGGCCAAGAGCAGAACATCCCAAAGCAATGGAAAAAATTTCTGAGTGCTAGAGATAACAAAGAATCGTTATTGGAATTCTTCATCAAACATTGGAAATCATACAAGTCATGCCAGTTTGCTTCTGTTTCTGTTTTTTATGCAACATCGAAGAATAAATGTTATGCATACCATCCCAATCGAAATGGTGATGACCCTGTTAGAACAGACTCATTTCCACCACTCGATAGCAACCATGAAGAGGCAGATACTCGTCTATTGCTGCACGCCAAGCATGCCGAAGCACATATGACACAGTGATAATCAGAAGTCCTGACACTGACGTTCTGGTTCTTTGCACTGCCATGCAACAGTTGATTGAGAAAGATGTTTATATGATGACAGGCTCAGGAAACAAATTTCGTTGCATACACATTAACACAATTTGCGAAGAACTTGGTGATAACACGTGTAAATGTCTGTTAGGTTTTCATGCATTTTCAGGTATTGTAGAACATGTTGTGTTGATGATATGAATAATTTGTAAAAAAGCAAATAATTTCAAACCAATCTTGACAGATATTAAAATATTTACTTTTGTAGGGTGTGATTCCATAAGCTAATTCCATGGAAAGGGAAAAATTAAAGTTTGTTATAAAAACCCAAAGATGTTCATATGTTAAAGCTCAGCTGAAATGTAGTGACTTATGTTCTTGTGAAAGTTGCAGCAGCATTGTAGCAGTGGATGAGGACATAATCCTAACAGAAAATGAAGGTGATTTACTTGGCAACAACGATGATGACAGTGATGATGACGAGTTACTAATTATGTAATCATTGCTGTGAAAATATTCCTTTCTTGTAATTATGTTACAAAACTGCATTATTACCTTCTTGACCTGGAGATGAGATTTACTGGGCATAGATGAGGCGTTCACTCATATGTAAATTCTCGTAAACCTCACTTCCAATACCTTTGACATAATTTCCAGAAAGGCATATTTGATCAATAACACAACATTCACATCAATGATATCATAACATAGTGACCCAGCTATCCAAGGTACAAGACAAGGTGAGTGAGATGTAAATTAGGTATTTAAAATTTAGTTAATCAAATGGGTAAACAGTGTGAATTTTTCATAATTTTATCACAGTACAATTTGTCTTTGAAGTTTTCGACAGCACTTAATTAAATGTTAAAACATAGAAAATACCTCCATCAAGTAACTAAGCGATTAGGAAAATATCAATCTTTTACCCCAAAACTGTAAAAATGTATAAATTGAAAAAAATAGACATACATTGTTGAAAAAATAACTAAAAATTGTAAAGTAACACCGTGGAAACCTGCGCCATGTTTAAATTTTGAGCCGTTGTTTGATGGATTTGTTCAGCGAAATGTTATGAACTTCATTTAACAATTGATGAAGGTTTAATGAAAAATGGCGGTGAATGAATACGAAATGTGTTGATTTAGTGAAACTTTGGCGGTGTTGTACTACAAAACTGCAGGTTTGTGAACATTACAACAAGTGAATTTGAATTTTACACAAAATAATCTATTGATTTTACTTGTTGAAAAGTATTCCCCATGAGGGCGGAACAAAACTTGTTTTCTAAGCGGCTTTTTGGTTGACAGAATACGGCCTAATAATAATGTAAATATTCTTGAATGCCATGGACAATTTAATAATAGTATCGCCACAAATTTACCTACAAAAAAAGAACTAGACAAGTTATGTAGTATTTATGACTTAGACTTATTTAATCTAACCACGAACACGAACATAAATCCAGATTGTAATCTATCATCTAAATCTATACACAGTAATTATTACTCTCCTCATAGTTTTTCTCGAACAAAAAGTTCTGATAAGATTCCCAATTCATGCCTTTCATTTCTTCATAACAACGTAAGGAGTTTGAAGCGTAATTTGGACGATTTTCAAAACCATTTGCATGAATTAGACCACTACTTTAGTATAATTGGAATATCCGAAACAAGAATAATTAACACAGGCTCTCTTGATTTCAATCCTAACATTCTGGGATATAATTTTGAATACGTCCCAACTCCACTCTCCGCCGGGGGAGTTGGAATGTACAGGGCTGCAAATTACTGTCAGACATCGGACAATGTCCGACTAAATTTGGCAAATGTCCGAGCAAAAGTAATTTTGATCGGACATTGGTCAGATCACAAAAAAATTGTCACATTATACATTTTTTTGCTGTGACAAAATCCAATTGCAAATTCACTCGATTTGCATTTTGCAATAAAATTTAAGAGGCATTCTAGCATTTTGCTTAACATTGCGCCGGAATGGCTATACATACTTGTCCTGTGACTTATATATATCTTGTGACGTATATATGTCCGATCAAATTTAGTGATTTTGTTTTTTGTCCGACCAAATTCAAGTTATGTCCGACCAAAATTAAAAGTGATCGGACAACTGTCCTGTCAAGTCAAATATTTATTTGCAGCCCTGAATGTATATAGATAATCTAAACTATAAAATAATTGAAAAAAGTTCCAATGAAGCATTTCAGGCTCTTTGGGTTGAAATTGGATTTACTGACAAGGCTAATATTATATGCGCAGTAATTTACAGACAACATAACTCGCCAGAGTGTTTCCAAAGTTATTTTGAAGATATCCTAGAGAAACTCGGTACCTCAAACAAGTCAATTTATATTCTTGGAGATTTTAACATAAATCTTCTTCGATTTGAAACTAGCAAATATGCTCACAATTTCTTAATATGTTTACAAAGTTATGGACTTAGTTCAACAATAGACAAACCAACTAGAGTGCATAACAATTCTGCCACACTTATTGATAACATTCTAATAAGAAATGATAGTAACTTCGTAATTAGTGGAAATATAGTGTCAGATATTAGCGATCACTATTCACAATTTTGTATTATACCATCCTTTAAATATGAACCAACTGACAACGTATCATTTAAAAATGATCTCTTGGGAATTGATTTTGACAGTTTACAGAGAAACACGTAATGATATTGATAAAATGTTTTCAAGCTTTTATAACAAGACTACAGTAAATACCTAGCTATATGATCGAGTCTTGTGATTGGCCAGCAGATTAAATAGGGTAGTCACCAATCACAATCAAGCCTTGCCCGTTTTTGGGGGGGTTTTGCCGCAGGACCGTGTTGCCATGCAGGTTCGCCGCATGTTTAATACTGCAGTATATAGGATTTATATAGCCAACACTTTTTGACTGCTGAATTTATACTGTTTTGGACGGCTTTTGGTTGCTGAGAATAAGGAGATATGTGAGTTTTGCTTTTTGGAAACATGAATGGAGAAGAGGTCAATAATCAGTTATAATTGTATTGCTTGTATGACAAATTGGATCGTTAGATTCGGCCCATGTATATTTGGCCATATTTGCAATTTCCAATCTATAGATAATACAGTGATAGGATTGTTTCAACATATGTTTGAATCACACACTGATATACATGGAATAACATCTGTATCACTCATTTTTGGTTTCATATGGTGTAATGGAGGCTAATAGAAAAATATATGGCGTCAGACTTCAGTAATATTTCGGCCATATTTGCAATTTCCAATGTATACAGTATAGGATTGTTTCAACATATTGAATCACATCTGTATTACTCATTTTTTGTTTCATATCATGATGTAATAATGGAGGTTCAGATTCATTATACTAGGATGGAGGTTCTATAATGGAGGTTCAGATACATTTGTAAAATACCTAATCACACACTATCATGCCTGTATTTAACCATACGTTTATGTAAATAGTGTGTATTATGCACAACCTCGGAAAAACAGACACCTGAAAGGCTACCACCAATTGCCACCGGCATTGTAAAGAGATATAAATTAATCAACATTAAAGGTGATGTAAAGTCCGTTCTGCGCATACATTCTGTACAGGCCATTTTATAACTGTAGCACTGAGTTCAAAATGTAAACAAAGCGTTTCTTTACATTTAAAGTGACAGTACACTGTACACCATAACCTGCATCACCCGCGTACATATATATAGATATGCAGAACTAACATAACACTTGCAGAACTAGTATTGTTCGATGCTGAATTAATATAAACGAGTATGTTTATGACATTCAGTATATATTTCATAATTTCCAGTCTTAAATCCGTCTGACCGTGTAGCTCAGTAGGTAGAGCGTCGGTCTAGTCATTTGAAAGTCGCGGGTTCGAGACCCAGCCACGGCAGACAACATCTTTCTTAATATACATGTACATATATACATAAATACATATATATACATATATATACATATATATACATATACATACATATACATACATATACATACATATATATACATATACATACATACATACATACATACATACATACATACATACATACATACATACATACATACATACATACATACATACATACATATATATATATATATATATATATATATATATATATATATACTATTAGTCTGGCAATGTTGTATGTGAATGTTGTGGTTTCCCACATTTACGATTCCACTCGTATAACGTTACACAAAGGTAGAGCGTCATTGTAGAAATGCAAAGGTCGCGGGTTCGAATCCCAGCCGCGGTCAAGTAGAATTTTCTGCTTGCCCGGTTTGGTACACACTCAACAACACAACTCAAAAACCGCTACATAACGTTACACAAGTGGAATCGTAAACGTGGAAAACCACAACATTCACATACAACATTGCCAGACTAATAGCTGGCTATACACATTGAAGGACTAACCTCCGAAATGCAACTAACATCATAACTTAACAAGTCGTTCTCAGCTTGACCTTGTAGCTCAGAAGGTAGAGCATCGTTCTAGAAATGCGAAGGTCACAGGTTACAATCCCAGCCACGGTCAAGTAGAATATTCTGCTTGCCTGGTTTGGTACACGCTCGTCTGAAAACAACTCAAAAACCGCTACATAACGTTACAAGAGTGGAATCGTAAACGTGGGAAACCGCAACATTCACATACAACATTGCCAGACTAATAGCTGGCTATACGCATTGAAGGACTAACCTCCGAAATGCAACTAACATCATAACTTAACAAGTCGTTCTCAGCTTGACCTTGTAGCTCAGAAGGTAGAGCATCGTTCTAGAAATGCGCGGGTTCGAATCCCAGCCGCGGTCAAGTAGAATTTTCTGCTTGCCCGGTTTGGTACACACTCGTCTGAAAACAACTCAAAAACCGCTAGATATATATATATATATATATATACACATATATACATGAATATACATATATACATATATACATGAAACTGGACCTCTGTAGCTAAGCTGTCAGCCACAGGTATGTCAACATTAATTTCTATCGAGCGAGATGTACAAAACATGTAATGTTTTATTTTACATGTTTAAATAAGGCGAAATAAATCGCCAATCTAACCATTGCCCCTTTTGTACTTAATCGGAATGCTATTATCTCTCTTAGATTACCCTGGGCAATGCAACAAAAAGGTGCAAAAGCAAGTGCCCTGCATGTCCATTTGTATGTGCAAACTTCTGGAAGCCAAAAAACTGCCCAGAGTGTAAATATGAAATTGGTGGAAGTTACATTCCCAAGGAGAAAAAGCGAAAGAAACTCCACCCTGACTGTGCTCATGTTGGTAGAAATGTGTACTCTGTGATAACAAGCACAAGAGGTGACAGATGTTTTGTTGTGGCTGATGAAGAAAACAAACCGTGTAATCAGGAAAAATGCAAAAGAAGATGTGCCCTGACAGTCGCAAGTTCCACAGAAAATGTCAGAATCTTCAGTTGTGAGCACATTCAAATGATCGACAGTAGTGTCCAAAATTGTAAAGTGTTTTACCTCGCAAAACAATCAATAGAAAAATACAGTGGGGATTGTAATGCAAAAGATTTGCTAAAAAGTCTTTTGCCTTTTCTTGAGGGCAATGAGATGCCTGCAGTGGTGAACATCTCTGAAGGTGTTTACGCTGTATATGGTCCCCCGAGTTCTGTGTCTCCATTGGGTTATGCACATCTGTATGATCAGGAAAATTACTACAAATGCTCAGTGAAAAAGGTAGTGGTAAACAGCAAAAGATCAGTAAAGGGTGCATCCATCAACATGTGTTGTTTTGTGTCACAAAGAAAGAGCATATCAAATCAAATAGAATACTGGAAATAACTAGAGTTGAAACTGCAAAAGGAGCATCAGCAACTGCTGAATCATCAACCATTAGCAAACCATTAACCTCTTGTCCTAGCATGGGTCGTACTTCAACAGTAGCCATGAACATGAATAGGGTCTTGCCATATGATATTCCAAATGACATTTTGAAACAGGAACGGAAAATGGATGTGACGACCATTCTTGCTCTAAAAGAGGTAATTATCTTTGTTGTCTACTGCAACCTTTCTGAACAAATACAATAGAAAGGAAACAGTTCTTTACAAAGTATATAACAATTACGACAGAAGTTTGTCCACTATCAGATATACATCAACTATGATTTTTGAGAACATTTTGAAGACTCACTTTTTTAAGATTGCATTTAACTAAATTAAATTGATGATTTTAAAAAATGACATATGTAACTATGCTAGTGAAATATGTAGGTTAAATCTCTATATCAACAACTGTAGAGCGAATTTGATCATATTCATATGCTATTTTGCACTATATAAGTTTTAATTATTATTAAACAAATTTGTACATATATTGTGTTTTGTAGGGTAGTTGGCCGACAATATTTGTGCCAGAGGAAACATTATGTAATTTGTGCAAAGCTGCTCTTGGAAGTGCAAGAAATCATCCTAGAGCAAACTCAAAGTGTTACCTATTAACAAATGGCAATCCTTACCATCCTGTTGAAATTAAAGTAAAAGTTTGCCCCAATAAAGTCTGCAAAGCAATGCATCAAGTTTGGCCAATCAAGTTAGGTACTATAAATACAATATTTTAATGGTGTTACTTGCACTGTGAAATATTGTGTGTCTCGGAATTTTGGCTTACAAAATCACAACCTCAAAACCTGTGATATTACTGTATCTAAAGTCACCCATCCTTGTTGGTCTGTTGTTTCCTAAAAAATGCAAGAAATAGGATAGGAGAGTTACAGTAGCCTATGGTATAATTTGTTGGTGTGCTATTAAGGTGCATATCACATGAGATTTCTTATTTTCTTACATGAAAGAACTCTTTAAGCTGTAGTGTAAGTGTAACTTATTTTTCAGTTGTTTTTATGGTTTGTTCCCAAGATATTTCAATTTGTTTGATATGTAAATGAATGTGAATATGTCTGCTAATTTATGACATCACTTTGGTTGCAAGCTCTTCAAAGTGGTTGAATATCACTGCAATCATCCAAGTCAAGATGGTAGTTTCAAACTTCACTCTCTGGTACTGTAAATGTGATGAAACGCTAGAGAAAAACATGAACTGATATCTACAGTTTTTAGAGTTAATAGATTTACAGTACAACCAGTGTAAGTTGAGCTTGCAACCAAAGTGATGTCATAAATTAGCGGACATATTCACACTCATTTACATATCAAAAAATTGAAATGTCTCTGGAACAAACTATAAAATCATGAAACTAAAAAATAAGTTACACTACAGCTTAAAGAGTTCTTTCATTTAAGAAGATAAGAAGTTTTATGTCATATACACTTTAAATTAACTGAACATTGCATTATGATATGGTTCCAAACACATTCAATATTTTGGCAGTTATTTTGAAAACATGACTGCACAAAATAAATAGTACTTTAATAATAATTACATGCCTATACTGAACATTAATTAAACATTGGTAAATTGGAATGGTGACTAATACATTGAAAACCAAGACCATGCTCATTCATTCTCCCCAACAACTTAAGAATACTTCAGACCGTTCTCTATCAGTTACTCTTAATGGCAACATACTTGAACAGGTGAAGCAAGCAAAAGTGTTGGGTTTAACGCTTGACGAGTTTTTAATTTGGACCAAGCATATTGACTTAACTTGTGTTCAACAATCAATAGTAGACTTGCTTTATTACGCAGGATTAAACCCTTTTTAACTAAGGACTGTGCTCTTCGTTTCCATAACTCCTGTATTAATTCAAGTCTTATCTACTGCTCTGTAACTTGGGGAAACTGCTCAAAAACACTTTTACTTCGCATTCTTCGACTGCAAAAGCGTGCAGCACGTATTATTCTAGACGCTGACTTTTCTACTCCTTCTGTTCTTCTTTTTTCCCAGATTCGAATAATCCCAATTTTTGATATTGTTAAATTTAGGAAGCTTCTCTTACTAATTAACATTCTCACAAATCCCAGTGCTCCATCTTCATTTAAGCAAATGTTTAAATTCTTATCTTCTATTCGACAACGGGCTCTGACTAGAGCTTGCGCATATGACCTTCAACCCCCCTTCCCGCGTACTGACTCTGGTAAACAAACATTTCTGTACAGTGCTTCCATTCTTTTTAATTGCTTAGATAGTGATTGTAAGCAACTTGCTGCTTCGCCATCTTGCTCTTCATATACTAACGCCAAACAAAAAATTCGTAAAATCTTTCTTAACAAGCTTACCCTTACTAACCATATCGAAGATCTATTTAGTACAAATTGTAAATATTTACTAAATTGTAATTGTATTCATTACTAATTATTTTTTTCTCAAATGTAAATAGTCGTAATCCTTAAAGTGCATATGTCACAATTACCATTTTTTCCTCAAAAATCGGCCGTGGCAAGAAAATTCGAATGATATATGTCTTATCTGCAACGGATAAATACTTCTAGAGATATTTTAGCTCAAACATGCCAAAAAATAGAGTTTTTAAAACGTGGCCGGGAGAAAAGAGTCTGAGTACGAATCGCCGCTGTGACGTCAAAGAAGTAACCAAAATATTTCATGACATGTGTTTATAGCAGTCTATAGTAAAACAACATGCCTTCTCGCTGCGTCGTATACGGCTGTTCCAACCTCCCAGACCCCGAGAAAGGTATTAGTCTTCATAAGATACCGTTCTATAACGATTCAAGACCGGAGGCTATAAAAAGACGAAAGGTCTGGGTAGATTTTGTGAAGAGCAAACGTGCGAAGTGGGAGCCAGGCAGTGGAAGCCATGTATGCTCTAAGCATTTTAAAGCGGACGCTTTTGACAAAATATTGAATTTGCCCGGACAAGCGAATACGTTTCGACAAAAGCTAAGAAAGGATGACCTAGGAATTGTATCGTTTCCATCTATATTTCGTACGGATGCGACGGAAAAACAAGTTTCAGGCAGAGCAGCCAGAGCAATCAAACGCAAGGTGAGTAAATAATAGACCCATTTATCAATGAACTCTTTGTTTATATTTTTACTTCACGCCCTTCAATAACTTATTCTCTTATAATATTTTCAGTATGCATCTGGGAATGAACCAATCAGCCCTCAAGAACCAGGATGTTCATCGGATTATGTTGAACCTGAAGCAGAAATGGACTTAGCTATAGAAATACCGAATATCAATATCGAGCGTTATGTAAGTAGCAAATTAGCATTATTTCGCGTCGTGGTCACTTCAATATGTATATTCACGTTGAAGACTACAATATTTGACTATTTATAATAAAAGTGCACTGTTTTAAACTAAGGTGTTACAAAATATTTTATCTGTATATTTCTAATTTTTTAAAACTATATTAGGATATAGAGCAGCCGGATCGAGAGAAATTCACACAAACAGACATTCCAATGGCTGGTACGGATTGCAATTACTGTCTGGAATTACAAGAGAGGAACCGAATTCTTCGCAATCAAGTCATAGACTTAAAACAAAGACTAGCTAAAGAGAAGTCCATTGTGAAAGATTTACAATCCAGTAAGTAGTGTTATTTTGTGTATACTGTGAAAATTTATACCATATTTTATATGACCGACCTCAGTTGTAAAATTATTTCAGAGCTGTTGAGCAAGTATTTGCAATACGAATACACATTTAATAGGAAGTATATTATCGCACTATTTCTGTAATAGCTAGTTGTTGAACTATTACAAACAAGGACAGAGATTAGTTAGCTTATTATCAAATTGAAAACATAAGCCTCAGTTGCCCAATATAAGCATATTTTTATGGGTATCATATGATTTCATGATTTTATATATAATTTTATCTTGTATTTTTCAATCAGACCTTCAAATTCCTGTGGAAACTGTGCCATCTAGTGACACCGAAGCAGCCATATCATCCGAAGATATTAGCAGTATGGCTAGTGAACAAAGTGAAGAAGGTGGTGTGTCAACTGATCCAAACACTGAATCAGATGATGCAATTCAATGGGATGATTTAACAGAGACAGAGGACTCAGATGAAAGTGATAATGATGAACAAAGGAGGTAAAATTAGTCAAGTATTTAAGATGCCAACCACATGTGGATACTGTAAATATTTAGTATCATTAATGATTGGTTAATCAACACAAGTGTATTTATAAATTTCAGAGAATATACAAAGGATAACAACCTGAGGACAGAACCAAAGTGCATCGTGTTTCTGTTGCAGCTGGATGCTCCTTTTTCAGTTTTGTCCATCCTGCAAAAGTGCCAATCCTCTAGTTGAGACTAGCCAACATGGGACAAAGCTTATTGTGTATACTCACTGTGGTAATCCCAACTGTAAGCAAAGTGATTCTGTGTGGCGCAGTCAACCTAACATGGAGGGTACCAAAATTGCAGCAGGGAACTTTCTGTTAAGTTTTGCGACTTTAGTGGCTGGTGCATCAATCAGTAAAGTTCAACGTGTCCTTAGGCATATGGGAGTGGCATGCATTTCACTAAGCACTTTCTTCAGGCTTCAGAAGGTGAGTTGGTCCTACAAACAGGACTAGACCTTTTAACACATTAAGTCGAATTGCGCCCTCATACAAAAAGATCTGTTATTCTGAACATTGGTCTTAGTAGTGCAACAAGTGGACCTTAATGAGAATGAGTTTTTTCTGTGAGTGACAACTGATGATTACATGACAACTAATGGCCAATGTTGCTTTTAGTGTGCCATATTGGCTAATTATTCTGTTATATCCGGGCTTAAAAGTTAAAATCTGAATTTTCAATCAGTATCCCAGTATCCACTTGAAATATGGTATCCACCCAGGAAATCTAGTATCCCACATTTGGATATTAGATAATTCTAGTATTGTGAGCAGATGAAATAGCAAAAACACAGCAATTTGATAATATAATTACTGTAAAATGTAATAGGTCGAGATTAGCGGATATTGGGATACTGCAAATTTAAGCCAATTGATTATATGTTCTCATCATTTGTCAAACAGATCAGTTCCCTTGAATGGTGATTCATACAACATATTGTTTTTCATAAACTGTTTTAGAATAAGCTGTTTCCAGCCATTTCACTGCACTGGAAAAACTACCAAAGCCAGCTTGTCGACAAACTTAAAGAAAACAAAGAACCACTGGTTATGACAGGAGATGGAAGGCACGATAGCATGGGGCATAGTGCAAAGTATTGTGCTTACACAATATTCTGCTGCACATCTCCATGTATATTACACTTCAATTTAGTGCAGGTCCGAAAATAAATATTTCTTGTTTCCATTTGGGTTTTTTTCATAACATAATTTCAATGTTTTGTGTCTACATTAGAGGAATGAAGCAGGAAGTAGTCAGGCAATGGAGTATATGGCATTCCAGCATTGTATGGAATACATCAATAATTGTGGAATAACATATGACACTCTTGTCACTGACCGCCATACTTCCATAGCGAAACATATGAGAGAAAAGCTTAAAGAAG